CACTGTCAAAAATTACGTATCAAATTTCGGTAAAAAATAAGAGCATTCAGGTTGCTAGTAGTTTTTTCCTTAAAATTTATTTGTACTACAATATGTTACTGAACAAAAAATATGATATACCGTGATTTTTACAGTAATAAATAACGTATAATCACTAAATCACTCTAATTTAATAAATATTACTGTAAAACCTACGATGTAATATTTTACAGTAAGAATGGATCTTAATGGTGATATGGATTTTATGGATGATGCGCTCAAAGTGCCTGATTTGATCCGGAAATTTTTACAGTGCACGTTCAGTCAAAAGATCGAAATATGAACTACTCATTAGACTCTTATCAGAATTGGAAACCTTTTTGGACCGTGTGTCATACGTTTCGTTAAAAGGTCGAATGATAAATCAATGATTGCAACCTGGTTTTTACACACTTTTATCAGTATTGGTTCCTTTTACGGAATACATGTCACAGGTTTTTACGGAATACATGTCTCAAAATGTCCAATTATAAACTAATCATTAAATCCACTCCACTTTTACCGACCGTTTCTTATTAGAGCGCCTTACTCGTATCAGAGTGGGCGTCTGAAAAACGCTCAGACGCTGATATTCCAGCGTCTGAGTTATGTCTCTGAAAAAAAGTTTGGAAAAATATAAAAATTAATAGCTAGATCTATCTCTCTTGTTGATCACTGCAATTCAATTAAAATTATGAAATAGAGTTCGATTGCAGTCAGGCTCACCGTGGGAGGTTCTCGTGGTCTTCCTCTCCATGTAACGCAAATACGGGTTAGTTCCATCTAAAAGTCCTCCACGAAGGCAAATTTCTCCCAATACTTGATTAAGGAGCTCCCTTGTCTTCTATATTGTGTTCAAAATTACCAGGCTAAGGAGTTGGACATTAGTAGTTCAAGCTGGAATTTTGTTGGTTGTTCAACAATGGTTATACAATGAAATAAAATGGGTAAATTAGCATTAAATTAGTTTAAAAATGACGAAAATAAGTTGAGAAAAAATCATAATAGATCTATAGATATTGCTAAATATTTAAATCATATAAATTATAGACACCGATAATAAAATAAAATTAAATACACTCATGGACAAAAAAATTAGCGCACCAAGAAGGAGTTGTCAAAATGAAACGAAATTTTACATACGTAATGACTGCTTTGATATAAGTAAATGATTAGAAAATCAAAGACAATCGTTTTTCTTTGATTTACTAATCATTTACTTATATCAAAGTAGTCATTACGTATGCAAAATTTTGTTTCATTTTGATAACTCCTTCTTGGTGCGCTAATTTTTCTGTCCACGAGTGTGCATTAAAATAAAATAAATAGGAAAAATCTATTTATTAAAAGTCTCGTGTCACTTTCTAATTTAGTACTCTATTTTACTCAAATTGAAATTTTCAATGCACATTCAAATTTAAAAGTTACATTGTGTCGTTTTTATTACATTATAAATCTTTTTTAAACATAATGATTTTAAATTTTTTTTAAAATATTAAATAAATTAATTTACGTTTAATCAACGGCGGTGCGCAAACAGACCTTGCCATCTACATAAACTCTAATAGATTAGTCATTTATTAAAAGAGATCAACTTACAAATGCTGCGCACTTCTCAATTAAATAAAATGTCAAAGCTAAAATATTAAGTTCCAAATTTTATCCGAGGAAATTTATTAATTCAGTAATGTTTTACGCAGCTTAAATTCATTCCAATAATTCATTTACGCTACCCGATACCTTAAATCGTAAAATTATTCTCGCGATTATTATTCATGAAATGCATTTATTTGAATAAAATCTTAACGTGAGTCACGTAAATTCATAACGAATGAGTATCAGAGTAATTAATTCACTTTTCAGAATTGAATTGTAAATGTAATTTCTGTAACTCAAAAATCTATTAATTATTAGCAAAATATTAGCAGTAAAGGCGTATATTACTGTTAATATTTATGTAATAATTAATTTATTTTCATAAAGATGGCTTTTAAATATTAATAATTGTTGTATTAATAAATAGTTGTTCATTAGAATATTTAAAATGTTGTAATAACATGGATTTGTCAAAATATTAATTCAAATTTAGAATTGTTTTAGAGAACAGTTCATTTTATGAATTAAAGATTTAAAAATAATGAGATTAATCCTTTGCATTAAATTTGAGTAAATTTGAAACAGTGTTTAAAAAATAACAAAATTTTATCAAAACCTAAATATATTTTTGTGTCACATAGTTGCTAATCAGTACAAATGACATAGATGGCAAAACAGAGATTATGTTGTATATTTATCTATGTTTTGCCATTTGTCCTCCTGATGAAATATCCATGTGATATACCACAATAGCCAAGTGATATACAATATGCCACTTATTGGCGTTTAGGCTTTAATAAAACTTTACCTAGTTGTAATTTTAAATTTTATTTTTAATTGATTTCATTAATATCCAGACATTTCAGCTTAATTTAAACGTAAAAGCCTTTTTGTTTCGCATTGGTATATCCTCATTCGTAGAACAAAAATGACTGATTATGTAAAAAACATTGCTTATCATTTAAAAAATTATGTTCAATCACTTTTAATAATTTCGAGAAATTTTGACTTCATTAAAACCTAAATGCGTTTTGGTGTCACATAGGTAATTTGGTGCACAATAAAAAAATTTCCTCATCAGAAATTTTGCTTCAAAAAAGATTTGATGTGTATAATTTTGCCCCCTCATATTTCTTAACAATATTTTGTAAAATCAATTTTTACCCCAAGACTTTTTCATCACAAGAATAAAAAAGGTTATTTGTTTCTAATGAAACTTGGACAAGCCAAGTTCGCCAGTCATTGGTCTTTTGCAAATTAAGTCTTTCGTTTGCCAGGAGAGCACCACAAAGGTGAAAGTACGTCTTGGGTCAGAACTCCACGGATACATGGTAGAACGCCTCATTCGTGAGGTACGTTCCTCAATTCAGACATAGATCTCAAGGGAAAGGAAATTTTCCCTAGATCCCTGTAGCCCTGGTTCTGCTTAACGACCTACCACAGGACATCCGATTCCACAGATTTTACGATTACGTATATCACATGTACTCGTTGGGAAAAGCATAATAATGAATTAAAAATATGTAAAGCACAGTTGAGTTATGATTGTTCTTTTATGTATCTGCAGTGCCACAGCGGTAAATAGGGTATTTTCGAAGTACCCAGTCTGTATTTACTATATATATGCGGAAATACCCTAAACTAAAATAACTTGCATTTTCCTACTGCAGTGCTTATTAATCCAAACATGATACATACAAATGGTATTACTTCAAAAATGTGTAACTTTACAATGTATTAAATGTTTCAAAAATTGCTGTTTCTTTTACACATTTCATTCTTTTATTTTCATAATAGTTATTTCCAGTAGTCATTACGATATTTATTATGCTGCATTATGAATTTTAAAAGTACGTAACAGTAGTTTAAAAGACGGCATAAAAATTACTTTCTTTTTTTTTCCGTCGAGAAAAGTTGTATGATGAAATGATACATCAATTCTTCATCGTAATCTTTAAGAAAAGTAGTTTTTTTTATTTCACTATATATATACAAAATATATACTCTACTGATTGATAGATATAGAGAAAACATAGAGGAAATAATTTAATAAAAAATAACGAAAAAGAGAAGAAGAAAAATTATTAAAATAAAATATTTTTAAAAGTATTAAAAAAGTAAAAAATATTGAAAAACTAAAAAATATTAAAAAGCCGGGAAAAAATTATAAAAATATCTAATCTCGTCCTCAGCTCACACCATTATATCTGCAAAAAAGAGCACTCCTTTTTGCAGTTATTAATTTTTATGAGTGTGTGAGCTGAAGACGTGATGATAGTAAGCTGATAACGTGATGTGATGATGCATACATAATTTTTTTTTGTTTTCCGGGTTTTTAATATTTTTTAAGTAAATTTTTTCCTAAAAATTTAAAATTTTTTTCATTTTTTTATATTCTTTTTTCCATTTATTAATCTTTATTATATTGTTTTCCAGGCTTTCTCTTTATTTTAGACTTATTTTATGAGTTTTATATACTTGCAACTTAAGTGCAGTAAATAAAACTTATTATTTTCCATAATTTTCTTCCTTTTCTTTTCATCCTTTTTGTCTTGATTGTGTTAATGAGATTACCTGGATTCGAATCCTAGTGACAGCTGGTTGATACGAATTCCACATCCGGCTCGCTCCGACCACAATGCTGACGTAAAAAATCCTCAGTTATAGACAAAAGTCTGTATTAGAGTCTCCTTGCAGTTAGGCCTACCATGAGAAGTTTTCGTGATTTTCCTTTCCGTGTAGTGCAAATGCGGGTAAGTTCCATGAAAAAGTCTTCCACGAAGTCAAATTACTCCAAATACTTGATCCAGGTATCCCCTTGTCTTCTTAAGTTTGTTCAAAATTACCAGTCTACGGAGTAGAACATTGGCAAACGTAAGCCCCAAACTGGATCAACTGTTCAACGACAGTTATAAAATAAGATATGAAATATTTTAAAGTTAAATTGCACAAAGTAAAGTGAAAATGCCAGAAAAATAACAATTCAGTTAACTACGTCGAATAATTTTGAAATTAAAACTTCGCGTCAAGAAGTGCTTTATGGTTCTTCGCAACTGGAGCACACATGCACTGGTTTGTTTAGTAAAATGTGTCTCCATGATAATCGTGTCTAGAAAATATGTAATATGTCCATTTAATCCTCTAAAAGAGGTCTGATTTCATGTAATTTGTTTCAGACCTTTGTTTCCCGTTTCATTTGCTACGGAGTGGATAAAGTCATTATTGGCAGTCGTAAACTTAGAATTGAGTCGACTGTTCAACAACGGTTAAAAAATAAAAGTAAAATCAATAATAATTAATATTTGCACCAACTTTTCCTCGTAATACCTTAGAATAACATTTTATTCCATTTTCTTCAAAACTCACTCATTAATTTTCTCTTTTAGTATCGAGTGAAATGCCACACCACAGAGCTCCCATTTTCACATTTGAGCCTCCAAGTCTGAATGTATTTTCAAATTCATCTGGATCAACGATTCCTTGCAATGCAGATGGTCGGCCTTCACCCATAATCCGCTGGTTGAAGCACGATGGGCTGCCGGCTCTGGATCTGCCAGGGCTTAGGCATGTCAGGCACGATGGGGCTCTAGTCTTTCCTCCATTCCCTGCAGAAGATTACAGGGCTGACGTGCACGCGACTGTTTATAGATGTGAAGTTTCTAATTCTGTTGGAACACTTGGTAGCAGGGATGTTCACGTGAGAGCTGGTAAGTGCAAGCCGTCAATAAAATATCTTTTTCATCTAATCGATTTCGCCTATGTTCCGTAAAAATGTTAGTTTATTTCGAGAAATGGATCGTATTTTAAAAAAAATATACCAAAATCTATATTTGGAAGAAAATAAACTCATTTAAAATTGGGAATTAGGGATTTCTATTATGAGAAATCAATGAAATATTTAAATGTTTGCTTCGAAATTTTCAGAATTTGATTTTTATTTTTTTATCTAAGTAGTTTAGTAGTGTAGTTTTTATTTGAAAAATAACAGTTTTTCTGCAATAATGATTAATATTTACTGCAGAATTTATATTATAAATTTAAGTTTTACTGATACAAAATTAATTAAGTGTTTTAGATTCAGAGACTGATTTTCGAAACTTGTTTTAACAGTAAATTCTTATCATATAAACGTTAATCATATAAACGTTAAGACTGTAAATTTATTACATTTAATATGAAATAAAATGATGCAGTTTAATTTGAGAGACTTCTGTCAGAAACCTTTTTTTAAGCAAATATAAATTAATTTACAAAAATCAAATGTTTTTTAGAGGTTTTTGATAAACATAAAACTTAAAAGCAAACATTCTGTAAATCGGGTAATTTCGAAAATCTCTGTCTTTTTAAACTTTTACTTTTCTTATAAAACATAATAAATTCAGAAACGAATTTTGTTACACTGTGAAAAAAAGTATGGTTAAAACTACAAGAACACGATACAATTAACAGTGTTTCTGGCTATACTATAGAAACATCGAAAGTGTTGGTAATTATTATCAAAGGGCTATCGTAATGATTTTGATAAAATTAACAATAAAATATGGTTTTATAATGTTTGGTAAAACTTGGTAATTATATCTTATATCTAATTATATTATTAATTATATCTTAGAACATGGCATAAGAACCATTTATTCGGTTAAATTTTCTTTGCAGTTTTGTACTTGTAACTCAATGTGCCATAGTAAGGACTATAACTTTGAAAACCAGAATTTTCAGTAAACCGTTACCATATAAACGGAAAAACTACGAAATGGTTTGAATACCGTGTATATTTTTAATACCAAAATTAAAGCTTGTTTTTTTTTTTATTTTTTACCCGAAACGTGATTACCATACAGTACGGTTATTTTACCAATTTTACCCGTTTACATATAATGAATGGTTATGTATTTTAAAATTCCAATAAAGGAAATATTAATAAAAAAGTTTTAATTTTTGAAAATTTAAGAAAAATTTGTGGGCTCTTGTTTCGGAAAAAACTAAAGCATGTGGGAAATATGTTAAAATTTCGTTTGCAAAATTATCTCCTTCATGCATGAAAACGAGTTTAGCAATGCAATAGAAAAAAAAAGGTTTTCCTTACATTGACTAGGAAACAAAGTAATACTTCTCGTAAAAGTTTAAACTCTTCATTCATGAATTTAATAAATATTTTAATTTTAAAACTATTTCAAAAGCATTTTAAGGACATTATACGTAAATTTTAATTCTTTTATTATTTATATGGTATTTTTATCGGTAACTTATGATTATTATCATTCTTTTTATTTGCATTACCCGTTATTGTATATGATCATGGTTAGAAAAGAATTCAATATATCACATAATAGACACTCACTGATTTGAACAGTGCTAAGGTACGGTTTGAATAATTTGTCTTGAAGTTTTATTTAAACAATTCCACATTCAAAATTTACATTCAAAAATTATTTGTTTTAAATACAATCTAAGGGACAAATCCTTTTAAACTAAAGCGTAAGGATATGTGCATATTTTTCTTCTTTTTTTGAAATTTCGCTGAAATGTCAGAATTGTAAGATTTAGAACATAGAAATTCAAAAGCTAAAACATATATTTTAAATAATCGTGGCTTGTTTAATACAAGATGGAAAATTAAAGCTTAAAAATTGTTTGATCATAATTAAGCCGATAAGCACTTAGAATTCTGTCAAATTAGAATGTGAAATTAGAATATATATATTTAGAAGCCTAAGAATCCTTTTCCGAATTAATAAATAAAACTCATAAATATTAAAATACTCCAGTTAAATAAAAATAAAACACATCAGTTTTGAGGAATTAAGACGTAATTATCGGAATAAATTGAAATATTGGACCGTTTATTGTGAAAATAGATATTTTGAGAGTGAAAATGTTCCCGAATAAAAAATAAATAAAAATGTACATACTGTTTAAAATGCATATTTAAGTTTTATTTTATTTATTTGTGAGTGTTCAATCTATTGAATTAGAATTTTTTACCGTAAAAGTAAATGTAACAGATTAAAAATTTTCTAAAGCAATTTATTTTAGTTAATATCGTGAAATATATTCGATTAACACAATTTAACTGAAATGCACTTAATCGAATATGAAATTGTGCTTATTTTATTCATTACATTAAACGTGATAATTTTTAAATTGTTTTTACTTCGAAAATATTGAATTTCAACTCGTATTTAAAAAACTTTTTGTTATGTTCATATAATTAGTTTATAACAAATTATTTACAGTTTATACGAAAAAAAATAACGAAGAATTATCCAAATGTAAATTTTTATTTAATTAGAAAATTAAATTAATGTCATACTCATATGCGAAAAAATCGACTTTTTCCTTCCCTTGATTTCAAATAGATTTTTATGAAAATCAAAAGAACCTCTTTTTTTTCCCTATTTCTTTCGTTATATACTGACGCAGTTTACATTTATATTAAGTTAGGCTACTGACAAAGTCAAAATCCTGAAGTTTCTAAAATAGATCTATTCAATGTCATTGAACTTTAACTAGTTATGTAAGTATGCTTTTCAAATAGAATAATATTTCCCGTTCACATTATTTAGATGAAAAAATATCTAAGTTCTGTATTGTAAACATTATGTAATTTGGTTATTTAAATGCTTTATACGTTACATTTTGGTATATTTATTCTTGCCTATTTTTAAATTTTAAATTTAAACAGATTTAGAGATAAAAACTTAAAAATGAAATATGATTTACGTGATTGCATTAAAATACATATTCTGTTAAAATACAAAAAAAAGTTTTTATCAATTATATTTTATTGAAAATGCCAGTCTTAATTTTCAAATAGTTAGGATCATAATGTTAACTTACAATCCAGATTTAATTAGGTAAATATTTTTTTCTCATTATAATCTACTAACACTGATGAAAGGGTATGGGCAAACTGACAGAATATGGTAACATTTACAGTATTTCTGGACTTATGGTAATGATTTTGGTAATGATTTGAGGACTTTGGTAAAACTAACAATAAAATATAGTTTTATAATAACATCATGGCATGAAACAGAAAATTATAAATGGTATAAATACCATAAGCATATTTGTATAAATACCATGTATACAAATGGTATAACTCTATTTGTTTGGTAAAGTTTACTTTTAAAGTTTACAATACAATTGGGAAATTTGAAAGCCAAAATTTCTGATAAGCTGTTATCATATGAACGGAAAAAATTACTGAAAGAATGGTTTAAATACCGTAGATTTCTTTTTATTAAACAAAATTATTCTATTTTTTTAACCATAAATGTTTACTCCATAAAAGTAAGTTAATTTTACAAGAATGTTTTTCTCCGTAAACCGAAAAAAACCAATTCAATATTGATGTGTCCTGTAATCATTTTATTTTTAGAACTGAATGAAATATTCCACTTAATTTGTACTACCTGTATGACCATGTAAACTGAAAGCATATATGCAATAAATAAGCTATAATTCTTGGAAATTAATTATACTATTTATAATTCTTAATAAGCTGTAATAAAATAAGCTACAATAAAATAAGCTATAAATGTTTAAAATATTCTGTTTAATATGTGCCTGAGTAACCAGTTTTCATTATATTAGTAATTTAGTGTTACTCAAAATTTTACAATAAAGTATCATGAATAGCTTTATAACTTTATGATGAGACAAAATGCATTCAAAATTATGATTTCATTTTCTAATTCTATTATTTAAGGATGCTGTATTTACTTTAATTTATTCATCAGATATTTCATCGCACGAATAATAACATATTTAGTTTCATCGTTACGCAAATAAAGGACCCTAATTGACAATACATGTTATAGCTTTAGGGTCTGTCAGTGAATGATACGGTCGTCTTTGGCGACTATTAACTCACTGAATTTTTTTACACATTTTATTGCTAAGCATTCTTTTTATGTAAGCATATCTGTCGTACTACAATACTGCAGACATATATTAATCATATTTACTTAATTTTATTTTCTGTCGTAATTTTATTTATAATCTATCATTGATATTTAAGCATATTTAATTTAAATCATTCGATTCCACTTTTCAGTTTTACGTCTCCGAACGTTAATCATCATCCGACGTAATCAAAATTTCCTTTTTTTTTAATTAATAACTTAATTTCAGATTAAGAATTCAATATGTTAGAATTGTTGCTGCAACTAAAGCTGTTTAATTTGCCTTTGTTGTATTTACATCATGTTTTATGTTAGACAAAGCATCCAGATACGAACCAAAAGGTACCAGGTTCGATCCCAGCCAACAAATATTTTTCCCACTTTAATGACAGGTTGGTTGGTTGGTTCTAATGCCACTTGCTACACTGGCAAATTTAAGGCAGAGTGTGCGATTCTTGCTTTTCAGTGGCGCCATCTATGGCCAAGAATTCTACTTCTGCCACATCATGCGTCACACCTGTTTATAAGGCAGACCCATTCATGCAACCATTCATTTATCCACAGATTGAAATTTTGACCTGATCAGACTATCGATCTCCAATCCAGTGCCCCCAGAGGTATTGATTTGTTATGGGAACATGGAGGACTTTTGCGACTCGACAGAATTTTAACTTGCATCAGTCACCAACTACACAGGGAGTCTTCGGCCAGCGGGGCTCGAACGCACGAACTCTCGGAGATAGGCGCAGCGCCCTACTGACTATCTCGCCTATCTCGGCCCACTTTAATGATCACGCACATTGAACACCTAATTCTCTTGATCTTCTTTAAATGACAGCATTGACAATGTATTGCTTCAGTCTGGGATTCACTTTAACTCGACAAACCGGTTTCAGGACACATTTATCGTTAATATTTATGCCGTCAATTCACAAACTATACCGACTTCCACCTAAACTATTTCTACTGAAAACATTTTCATTATGTGTTTGAATAACGAAAAATAGTTCGAGTTTATTTTTTCCGCAGTAAACGGAAATTCCATGCCAAAGTTTCTGCTAAAGCTTTTCCTCTAGTATAAAAAGATTTTTTCAAAAAATAAATTAAATACTAAAGTATATATCAGTGAAAGATTATTTTTTAATGAATTATTTAAAAAAAAAATTCTAATACTCTCCTGTTTATATTGATACTCGTCTTTCGGGGATCAGAAGGGCAGATGTATTGGCCACTCATTCATGGGTACCATATTAGATGGACCAACGTTGCTTCTGCAGTAAGTAGAAGCAGAGAGAGACGAAGGAATGAATACCCATACTTCTGACAGGGATTCGAACTTGTCTCCATTCTGTTATGAGGTCAACTCTCTGACCTTTATACAGATGAAAAATTGGTTAAAAGGATAATGTATGTTGTAGTTTAAATATTGTTATATCTAAAAAAAATATGGATATTAAGTAGAAACTCATTATCTTTTACAGTTCTAAAATTATAACATAACTACAAATATGCCATTTTCTATAGAACATTTCAACAAAAATATAATTGTTTTTATCAACAAGGGAATCTATAAGAAAACAAAACACAGTTTGCTTGTCAAATAAGTAGAATAATAAATCTACTTACCAGACAAAAACGATACACATATGTAATACGTAATTATTTTTTCTCGAGTTTAATAAGTAAAAACGAATGTCAAAGTAAGAAAAGACTATTTTTCTCTTCAAAGATAAATGTACTTCATGAAAATTCTTCTGGGGGAGTTTATGCGGTTTTATTGGCGAGTTCTTTGCTCCACTTTGTTTAAAATTTATAGCTTTTGGAAGCTCTCGAGAATTAGGTTTTTCTCTTTACATTTCTAAACTCGATCAAACATTTTCAATAAAATATCTTCTATTTTCAGTGAAAAAAGCTTATGTCGGCTCTTGTTTAATTTTTAAAACTATTCCCCGAAATAAAATTATTCCATTCAGATGGTCAATCAATATGAATAAAAATAAGATCAGCTTGTAAAAGATTGTAGAAAAGTACAATAATATCTGTAAAAAATGAAGAAAAAAAAGAAAAAAATTTATAATTCTTTTCTGTAAAAGTTGAGAACAACATTTAAATTAATTTTTGTGTGGGCTGCTCCCCCTGCTCGCTAACGCTCGCCAACCCCCGAAAATTGCTGCGCAATCTTATATGGTTTGCTTCGCAAACCAAGCTCGCTTCGCTTGCTACTATCTTAGGTGCATTGCAAATGCACAAAATTCTGAGAATTCAAAACAATCATTCAAATCCATATAACAACTTTTTTTTTTAAAAAAAATTATATCTTTTAAGTAAATATAAAATCATTAAAATAAATTTGAATTCAAATAAACACTCATTGACTGAGACTCATTTTTCAATACACAACTAATAACAATAATAAAACAAATAAATTGGTGATATAAATCAAAAATCGTCAAATAAATTCGTAATATATAAATTCGTGAAAAAAGCGCTTTCGTCAAAATACTAAAATAGAGATCTATCGACAAAGACAACTCACTTCTGCCTAGCTTAATAGTATGAGATTGCCGCAACTTAATTTTTATTTCAGTTTCCATTTTTAAAAGCGCTATATGTTGAGCCACCTCAGCTGGATTTGGCATGTGACATTTTTAGTTGCAATCATTGGTCGATTTTCTAGCGTTCCCATTCGGGGAGTTGTAATGAGGCTTTTTTTGTCGCCGTGTAAGAGAAATATATATATAGATTCAAATGGATTGTAGTCTTTTCAATGTACAATGTAACCAATCACACACCAAAATAGTGACCGAAGAAATTTGGACAATGTCATTTTTTTGTGTTTTTATAGGGGATACTTCCATATCGTGATCTACCACGCTACCTACAGTAAACGCCAAAGTGATTTAAACTGAAAAAATATTTTTAAAAATATGTAGAAGTTTGCCTGGGGGTGGTTTCGAGTTGGTCTCTTTCTGCGATTTTTATTTTTATTTTTTATTTTCTCGCGGACCGCAGACAAGAAGTTACCAAGACTTGGCGACTATTCTACCACTTATAATATTCTGTAATAATGGTCAGCTATTAATTTATTAAACAGTTTTAGAAGTCATTATTATGTTTTATCATTATTTAAGAAAAACTATGCACTAATTGATGATTTCCTTTATTTGTAGTGGTAAATCAGAAGTATGAAATTCGACTTTCTGATGAATTTGTCTTAAGAGGTAATATGGCTTTATTAAGATGTCCCGTTCCAAGTTTTGTGAGTGATTATGTCAAAGTAACATCGTGGGAAAGAATTGATGGCTTTCTCATCACTCCAGGAATCATTAGTGGTAAATTCACAACTTGAAACCTTTTTTTTTTAATGTGTAATGTTTTCACTGTATAATAAAATAACTCATTCTTCAATAATAATTTTAAAATATTTCCTGTTCCAACCAAGCCCATTTACCCAAGCACAGTATTTTAAAGTATACATGATTCTATAATTTGTCTACCATTGTTGCTTTACATTTTTATTTTACTAACACAAAGCTGTACTTCAAAGAGCTTTCTAAGGAAATTTTGTTTCCAAATTTCAGTTCATAATTTAAACAACTAAAATACCCTCAATAAGCAAACTCTTTCAAATTCTCACTAAATATTTCAGGATGATTTAATTACACTTTATCGAAGTGAACAAACTATAACAATTTTAAGTATTTGGCGTTTATCATTAGTTTCTTTGGCAGCTTTACATTCTGAAATGAGAAGCACATTGTACATAGCAATAAATAAAAGATGCGCACAAAAAAAAGAAATAATACATTTGTAACACTTCTTGCATTTCCCGAAATCGAATAATTTAAGCAATCTCAACGAAAGCTATTTTTACTATAATACTTTTAAAATACTTATACTTAAAGTAAATCCGTTGGGTAAAAAACAATAATTTGAAGTATCAAGCGTTCTATAATTTGTTGAACATAACAGTATTGCATTGTTAACTATCTTGTGCATAATTTATGTAATAATAATGTCATTAATCCATGTAATAATATAATGTAATGACATTATGCAAATTATGTAATGTCATACATTAGCATCATTATCTGTATTTCCGAACGTCGAAAAATTTAAACGGCATCAACAGGAACCCACTTTAAAGTCAAAATTTAAAAACAACTCATTTTATCCAGTTCTATTAATTTCATCGCAATAATTAAAAAACGTAGAGTTCCAGTGTCTAATGATTCGATCGGTGTAATTTAACTGATTAACTGAATTTAACTGAGTGTTATTACGCAAAATAAGCGTTTGCAAAAATAGCGCAAGCACGCTATTACGAATGTAAAAATACTATTTGTTACAGGTAAATACGGGATATTACAAAATGGAGATTTATATATCAGGGATACAACAGAGCATGATAGTGCATACAGTTTTCGCTGTCACACGGAAAATACTGTAACAAGAGAAAAGAAAGTCAGTACGAATTACGCTAAAGTAATAGTTACAGGTTAGTATAAAATCTTGAAATTATTTTTTAGCGCAATATTTTTAATTAAATATAATTACTATTCAAGACAGTAGTTATTGCTGGATATATAAAGTTCTTAAAAATGTTCATAATAAAAATATTGGTTTTGTTTTCATTCGATATTTCCCTGTTTTATAAGGTAATAGGAATTTTGTTTTAATAAGTTTATAAAAATCAATAAAAACGTAAAAACCGCAGCGTGTAGTAGTATGAGATGAAAATTACAGTCACTCTTGAAGATATTAATTGACCTGGCATGCAGTGAAAAATATCGCTGATTTCCTAAGCAGAACACAGCTATCCAAACATTTCTATCACTTGCTGTTCTTATTTAATGATTTTTTTTAAATCTTTGGTCGACTTCAGGTCATTAAGTACTTAAGTATATCTTAGTTGTAACAATAAGACAATGTACGCTTATATAAATAGTTTTAGAATTAAAAAAAAAATGCCTATTTTTATTCAAAACAGAAAAATTTCTTAGCAAATATTTATGGCGTTATTCCAGGCGCCATATATATGATGCATGATTCAAATTTAATCTCGGAATTTCCAAGGAATCAACAACCAAAAATAATGATATCTTTGTACCACTCCAGTTACTTAGAAAGTCATATTATAATGTTTAGTTTAAAGTCGTGATGTTTTATTTTAATTTATAGCTTGATGCGTGGTTGTTTCGGCAAATACTGCTTGAAGGTAATTCTTTTGTATATAAATATATATGACGCTCATGCACATTGCGTTAAATATCTGACAATATCGTCCAATGGAAATTCCAAAAATACTTCATCTCAAATCCGAATAGATCAAATTTTTTTTTTTTTAAATTTCCAATGAGCTGCACAATCGGTCCTGACGAGGAGCAGACCTAGTGCGCTCTCCAGAGTTGGTTTCCACTCTTTCAGGACCACCACAATGGATGAAATACCGTTGGTCATATTAATTTGGACGTCTAGTTTCTGCCACACTAGATGGCAGCACTGAGACTCTATTTAGAAACTAAAGCGCACTAGGAATTTAATTTTTCCGGAAATGCCAAGAGTCAATAAGGATTTTTTACATGCCGCTTAATCATACGACTTGGCCGCTGAGGATTTTCTGCATCCCTAAAATTCGGAGTCTGGGCCGGGAATCGAACGCGCAGACTTGGGCTCAGAAGGTCGACAGCAAACCAACTGCGCCACCCAGCCACATAGATCGAATATCTATCTAAATATAGTATCGTTGCTAGTATATAAATTAAAAACACTCATAATTGGTGATATGCAATTGAACTATAATTTCAGAGCCTCATCACAATCAGCCACCCAGAATAATGATACGTTCCAGCCGCGTTTCTGTACCTGTTGGCAGGAAGGCCACTCTCTCATGTTTAGCACAAGGTCACCCTACGCCAACATACCGCTGGCATAAGGTTGCAGGAGAATTACGATCTGTTCCAGAATTAGGATCGACTGTAAGGCAAGAGGGTGGAGTTCTGGTTTTCCATAAGGTTGTTCCAGCAGATGGTGGTACATACATCTGTGAAGTCAGCAACAGTGTTGGTCAAGATAAGGTCGAGGCTGAGCTAATTATTGAAGGTCAGTGTCTCATTATTGTCTCAGTGTCTCAATAAGGTTGTCCTTACCTATTGTGAACAAGTAAAATTACTACTCTTTAATTTCTTCTTATTGTGTCACACTTTATGTTTATCCTAATTTTCAAATACACTCTCTTATGTTTCATATCATGGTAATCATTCATTTCAATATGATTAACACATTAGCCAAATTATCTTAAATAACTAATTAAAATTCTTTGCTTCCTTGAAAAACACCCATAATAGAAAAAAAGCAATTACGAAGAATGCCAAGGGTAAATTCATTTAGGGAGAAAAAGATGGAGTTTGCTAATTCTTCGAAAAAATTATGGTTCAATTAACTTAACCTACGTATAAAATTCTTTAGAAATAAAATAAATTTAAGTTAAAATTCTCTAGAAAATGCATTCTAAATTATATCTCTTTCATTTTAAGACCTACATTCAATCATGTTTAGTTAAACAGATCTATATCAGTGGGAGTATTTTTTATTTTATTACTGAATGTAAACTACTTAAGACAACAAAATATCAGCAATAAAAATTGCCTTTATAATAATAATAACAAGTGAAGCAAAAAAGAGAAGAAGACAAAATAATTTTACCACATGAAAGTTTGTTCTAAAAACAAACTCTTTTTTATTAAGTGCAGTCGTTCCCTGGGGCGAAGATCTTTCAAAGTATTTTTATTGTTTACATTATTTTAGCGCGGTAAATGAAAAATCCTAAGCATTAGGAAGGACTTTAAGAACGAGCAACGCAAGGGAGATAAAAGAGGTGGTGTACCTCAGGGCATGCCTCAACGAATGCATGGAAACTAACAGAACGAAAAAAACTCCTTAAGCTTTTTTTCTGAACATCGCTTTGTCTTCAAATAAAGAAGACAATAAAAGAAGCTTTATTATTTTGACTGAAGGTTATTTTTTTTTTCATTTTTGTTTGTTATATGTTGTTTGTTAATTTATAAAAAAAAATTCTGACAAAATTTTATCTTAGCTTCTTATATTATACGCTTTCTTTACTGGTATGTTTTAGCAGATGCTTTTTTTTTCTTCTTAAGATCCGTATGCATGTATTTGACATTTTTTTATGCATCATCATAAAATATTTTACGTTAGTTATAATATCTTTACTCGTTTTTTTTACATTTTAAACCTTATTTTTTAACATTAATTATAAGCAGAAAATAAAATAAAATGCAACATAACGTTCATAAAATTAAATCTCGTAAAAAAATATAGAAATGGCACAAAAATAAGTTTTAACTATAAGGATGTAAGTTTTTTATTTCATAATTTAAAGTTTTGTTTGGTTCAGCTTAACAATTGAAATGGATTTAGATTACAATTCATACTATGATCTTTGCACCAGTTATTATTGATTTTTTTTTAATTTGCTTGTTAAATATATAAGAACTATTCCTAGGGCATATCTCCTAAAATATAATAATTACTTTTTCTAACTATTGTTGAAATAATTTTTAAACTGATTATGCAAAACAAAATTTCGATATAAGTAACGAGAAACATTTATTGACTTTTAAATTGGAGAAATTAATAAATCCGCGATACTTTTTTCTCGTAAAAGTTATCATTTTATCTATTTATAGTTAATGTACGCTTCGACTTAGTTTTGAGCATTATATTTTATTAGATTTCGCACTCTGCCTACGCGAAGTTTAGTTCGATTATAACAGCAAAGTTCCACTCGTTTGATTCAACTGGATTCTTGACGATCTAAAAATAAGATTCATAAAACAATGCATAGTTTAAGCATTTTGCTTGAAAGAAACATGCCGCGGAAGTCTTAGTACCAGAATAATACAGGGTGTTCCAAAATTTGACCGACAAATTTTAAAAGACTTTAAGAGGATAAGAACTTGCCATTGAAAAATGTCGCAAACCACGCGAAGATGAAGAAGCCTCGAACAAGTTTCAATGTCACACTGGTAAACAGTCAACTGTAAAAGATAATTTGATACTGATAACTACATAAAACAGCGATTCTCAACCTGTGGGGGGGCGCGAGAATATTCAGGAGAAAATATTATTTAAAAAAATTGATTAACTGGATGAAAGGAAAGAACACATATACATAGAAAACAAAATACATTTCGACATATTTAATAACTTATTCAAGTGAAACAACTTATTAAATCAAAATTTAAGGTGGGGAGCGAAGGGTGGCTTGGCCTTAAGGATTTTTTTATAATTTTCTGATTAAGTCTGTGTATCTGAATTTTTTCTGTAACATCTTACACCTATCTCAAATATATATCACGTATACATTTAATTGTAAAATAGAATTTCATTTATTTTACAGTACAATTTTAAAATTTTAGCTTCTGCACCTAAGTTCGCACAGGTTCCAAAGGTGAGCCATGTTTTGAAATCACTTTTTCACTTACTCAAATTATCTTTAGAAAAAACACTTGGACTGGCAAACTTCTTTTAAAAAGGCACTTTAAGTGTCTTGCTGGTAGGAACAAGTTTCCCGACTTTAAAAAAGATATTTGTTTTCAGAGTGTATAATTTGTTTATTGATTTTACTTTGATAGTTCTTGTGTGAAGTCACTAGCGATTCTTTTGAGTTCACTCATTAGAATTAATCAAGAATTATTGAGTTAATTTTTTCAGAAGGATTAGCCAACAAGTAAGAGTTAAATAACCATACTAGAGTTAACTAACTAAACCCATAACTAATCTAAAAATACCCAAATTTGCAAGAAAATACCAGAATCGACCACAAAAACACTCATAACTACCACAAAAATAAAAAAATACCTGAAAAATGACTTTAAAATGCAAACAAAACAAAAAACTTGAAACAAAATATCGCAAAGTCTACTAAAGTGCAGAGAACATCAAAATATTATAAAAATTTAAAAAATACCAAAGTTCCACATTTGCTTAAAATGAAATAAATCAATTGGCA